CCCCTTTCCCGGCCCCCCCCGCCCGAGAGCCGCCTCCAGCCGCCGAGGCCAGGCCGGCTCTGGGGTGGCGGAGCCCAAACGGAGCCCTCGCCGTGGCCCCTGAAAAAGCACGACGTCGAGTTTTTTTTTGGAGGGGGGGGGCTCCGCAGGAGCTTCGGAAAGCTCTGGAGATCCCCTCTCCGGCAAAAGGCGAAGAAGCCAAACCGGACAAGACCGAGCAACCCGGTGGCCCTTTAAAGACTGCCGATTCTAGTTCCACGGGAGCTTTTTCGTAGATCCAGTCCGCTTCGTCAGACATAGGGGCGTCTCTTCTTGTAGGGCTTTGCTGTAAAAAAAAATTATATCTTCAGGTGCCACAAGGTTCTCCCTAGTAAGCCAGCTCTGTTGCCCAGTGCCTTGAAATCTCCCTGTCACTCGACCGTGAAATACATGTTCTTCCAACAAGGGCATCGTATGTGAGAAATTCGTATGTGTGTTTCTTGTCAGAAACAAAGCAGGCAACCAAGAGGAAGAGATGAGCAGCTCTGCAGAAATGGGCCCTTTGCTCAGTCTTCTGACCCAGCGTTGGAGTAGTGGAGGGATCGTCAGATCCTGGCCTCCAGAGCAGTGCTTCCCCAACCTCTTGGCGTCATGCCCTGCCTTGATCTTTGAAGAAACCTTCAAAACACTTCCTGCCTCTCCGCTGCTATCATGGGTTGTTGTTTTGGTATCAAGCTGCTGCTAGTTTACGGCCGCTTTATTAAATACTCATGTCCAAAAGGTCCTTATGATCAAGCCTTGCAAACTCAGGTCTTCAGCTTCGATCCACTTCATATTCAGACTTCCTCTTCCCTTGGTGCTTTATTGTTACCAACACAAGGTGTTTTGGTGCACGATCAATTTCCTCAGCAACACCTGCCCAAAAACTTTCATTTTCTTCAGCATCTCTGTGTATCTTATTTATATCATTGGAGCATAGACTGGAATGGTGGCAATGCTGGCAGGTCTTCCAGGAAGTCTATTTGAGATTACTAGCCTTTGGCTCTTCCAAGAAGCGGCAGAAGTGGCTTCTGACTTGGGTGTCTCATCTGCCAGCACCATCTCTTGTTTCATATTGGATTGTCCCAGCATTACAGGGTTTTCATGATATAAAATATTCAGCACTGGGTTATTATTGCCTTCTTTGTGCAAGAAAGAAGAATTAACTTGAGTGTCATTGCTGTTTATGGAAGAACCTTTGACAGTGTTACCTAGCACAGTTACTTAGTGGTGCCTCAGTCTAGATGCTGACTTTTTTTGAGCAATGTTGCACAAATTTCACTGGATGATGTTTGGGTCCTTGCCTCACAAGATGGTGGAGTTTCCCCCCCCATTGTACATTAATTACATAAGACCTACTTTTTTATCCCAAAAAAGTGGGGGAGAAAGTATATGCTGCTGGTTTTCCAGGGTCTGCCTCTTGGAAAAATCACAGCATATACCTTCTCCCCACCACTTTTTTTGGATAAAAAAAGTACTGTAGGTCTTACAAAATTGAAATATTTCAATGGGGTAAAAACCATCTTATAAAGCATTGCCAATGGAGCCATGGCTACAAATTTAAATGGCAAAAAATAATAAAAACAGGAAGGAAGTGAAGGGTAAATATATTGTAGGAAATCAAAAATGGAATCCCTTATTAACACAAATTGTGCAGTTGAGTTTCCCACATTTGGGGAAATCACAGAGATCAGTAGCATATATGAAGTGCAATGGAAAAACCAGTTTCCCACATTTGGGGAAATCACAGAGATTAGTAGCGTACATGAAGTACAATGGAAAAACCTCCCCCCTGGGAAAACCACTTTTATAACATGGTATTTCCCCTGCAAGGTATGATTTGGAATGGTTGTTGCACCTCCTACCCCCTTCTGTTCCCTGACCCCCCAAGGCATGGTGAACCCCTGGCTGCACCTCCCACTCAGTACAGGGCTGCACAGCCCTAGTCCTGCCAGAGGCCAAGAGAGCTCTTCAGTGTTTTGGGGTGCCCTGCGGGACCCCCATCAGGGGCTAAGTGTTCCTCCCACAATCCTCTAGTGCACAGGTATTAGTATATGCTGATATCTTATGCTAATTATGGGAGGAACACCTGGCATTAGCTAGTTGTTTTCCCCACAATCCTCTAGTGCACAGGTATTAGCATATGCTAATATGTTATGCTAACATAATGTATTAGCATATGCTAATACCTTTGTTCTAGAGGATTGTGGGAGGAACACTTAGCCCCTGATGGGGGTCCCACAGGGCACCCCAAAACACTGAGGAGCTCTCTTGGCCTCTGGCAGGACTGGGGCTATGCAGCCCTGTACTGAGTGGGAGGGGCAGCCAAGGGGTCACCATGCCTTGGGGGTTCAGGGGACAGAAGGGGGTAGGAGGTGCAACAACCATTCCAAATCATACCTTCCAGAAGAAATGCCACATCATAAGAATGGCTTTTTCACAGGGAGGTTTATCTATTGTCCTTTTGGTATCTTGTTAATGCTTGTGATTTTCTCAAATGTGGAAATCTCAACTGCATACTTTTTGTTAATTATAGATTACATGTGTGATTTCCTTGTTTTTCCTAGATTTTTGTTCATTTCTTTTTTTTTGTCCGTTGGGACCTATTGCAAAAGCAGCAGGTTCTGGTGATGTCTTATATTGCATTCTTTCTTTTTAATTCCTCAATGGTAAGAGCAAAAGGTGGCCTTGATTATTTTCATTCTCTTTCTTTGTAGCTGGAGAAAGAGGGGGAAGGCCATCTGAGACCCCCTGAATTTCTAAAGGTAGTGCTGGTGAGGGGATTGCTTTTCCCCAATATGGTATGGGCTACTGTGTTTGCAAGATGATGTCTTTTATGGACAATTTACAGAAGACAGACACAAGACAGTGGTTTTCCCAATTAGAACGGGTTAATTTATTCCAATGGGGAATTGGGTTTGCAAGATGGTGTTTTTGCAAGCGGAAGTTTCCCAATTAGAACGGGTTAATTTATTCCAGTAGGGAACTGGGTTTGCAAGATAGTGTTTTTGCAAGTGGAAGTAATTAAAATTGTCTTGCGAGGCACCACTGTACTCTGTAGCTGACCTTCAAAACATTTTCTGTCCTCATCATTACTGAGTTATACAGTGAATATAATAACTCTACGCACACCCTGTTAAAATATCAAGTGTCTGTGATGTAAAAAAAATGAGACAAAGATAAATCATTTCAGAACTTTTTTCCATCTTTAATGAGACCTATGAACTGTACAACTCAGTTGAACAATACAGTAAACTGAAATCTTTCAGGTGGAGGGAAGTAAAAAAAAACAAACTGAAATAAATAATATGGCCTCATTCAAGGTGGAAAAAGTTCCGGAATGATTTATCTTTGTCTCTTTTTTTACATCACACAGGTGACATTTTAACAGGGGTGTGTAAACTTTTTATATCCACTGTAACTTTTCTTTTGGTGATGTGATTGCTGTTGTGTTGCGTTAGAAAAAAACATAATGGCAACACTATTTTTGTTCATCCCTCCCTATCACTGTCTTCTAGGGTATTAGAAATAATATTACAATTTTTTTTTAGGGTGGCACATGTGTTGCCGAGTTTTCTCTTTAGACAGGTTACACTTGAATGTGAGGGCAATCTGGCTGCAACATCTGTCACCTCATTGATCGCCAGGGTTGATTCGGCTGATCTGGCTGGCTAGGCGGGTGTCCCCTTCCTCCCTCAACGCTCCATGTGCGTCCCTCCCGAAGCTGCGTGCTTGGTGGTGCTTTGTGGATGCTTGGTGGTGCTTGGTGGAAGAGGAAGACCATCCCAGATAGAAGGAGTGTACGGTTCTTCGGTCAAGGATATACGATAGCTGTGCTCCCCTGCTAGAACCTCCAAACAAGCTCAAGGTCCATTTGTAGGAGAACGTAGGGTAGTTAGGTTTTAGACATGTTCACCTAGCTTCATTTTGGTCTTTTTGAATCCAAGGTAAATCCACCCTATGCTACTTGTTCTTTTAATGGTAACTGATAGCTTTACTGTGTGTCTTATTTATATTTTATACTAAATTTAGTTGCTGGAGCTTGTTCTGTCAAAACAATTTATTGAGAACTGCATTGAGTGGCATTGTCACTCAGAGGTCAGATTAATGTTATCACTGAAATAATGGTGGAGAGTGAAACAATATTTGCAGAGCAGGGAGCTGGTTTGGAAATAATGCTTCTTAGTTTTGTACAGTACAGTAAATGGAGTACTAAGAATATCTGTTTGTGGGATTGGAACAAAGTACTCCTCTCAGTGAGATTAAGCCTCTGTAGTACAGCATTCTTGTTACACATTTACCAAGCAGATGGCTGTGGGAAACCCACAATCAGGAAATGAGCACAGCAGAACCATTTCCCTCATATTTCCCAAAGAAACAGCTGTGTAAGTCTGTTGCAGCCTTTTGCAAAAGTATAAGAAAACAAAATTGCCCCTCCCCACAATATTGCAGATCTTTAAACGCTAACAGATTTATTTCAGTGTGAGTTTTTGTGGGTCAGAATCCGCTTCTTGAGACAAAAGGAGTGCTAATACATGTCACCTGTATATATATATTCCATTGATGGTGAGAGTTATGTGCAGGTGAGAATAAAGATGATAGGCAAAATGACAATGGTTTGCTGGACACAGGAATGGAACTAGCTGGGAAAAACTTGGGTTTCACAGGAATTTTAAGAGTTCGTTATTGAACAGAAGTCAGAGTATGTCAAGGAAGACAACTGTTCTCTACCTGGTAAGACCTTATAGACTGAGAACTGGGTTATTAATCTATATAGTGTGCTAAGAAGC